AGCCAGCTGCTCTGTACATCTGTCTCAGTTGCTGCTACTCATGGGTCCTTCTCAAGTTTTAAGAACTCCATGTCATGGTAGCCCTCATACCTGCCCTTAGAAGAAACTCTGCCCCATCTCATCCACACTGGGAGCACTAGGCTGGAAGGCCCTGGGAGCCTCTCCAAGACTCAAGACCCCAATGGGCCAAGAGAGATGTCCTGGCTGCTCACTATGGCCCCTGGTTCCAAGAAGGAGGGAGGATTATAAATGTAAATTGTTATGCAAATGAACCTCCCATTTAGCTGACTAGGATTCCTGGCTCCCAGATAAGTAACTCCATCAGCCATAGAAAACAGCCTGAGGCTGCTACTGCTCCTTTTTCTGCTTAAAAACTCTCAGAAAATCAATCCTAATGGAGTTGGAAAAATGGAGATTAGGCTAAATATGAGAGATTTCCTTGCCAAATATCTCATGTTTCCTTGGGAATAGCAAAGTCCTTATTTATCAACTTAGAATATAGTCAGCCTCACCAGGGCTCTGTCCCCACTGACCAAACATAATGATTCCTGGAACCAGCGTCTTAACCATGTATGACACCTTATTTTTTTCCTTCAAATAAGATGTGATTGAGACATATATTGGCCTGTTTAAGCAAGTCTTGAAAAGCTACACTGGTTTCAGGCTTCACTTTTTAAATCATGCTATTTGCCTAAATAAATGTACAGTATTCCTGACTTTTATTAGAAAATGAAATCAGCATCTACAGTTGGAACTGAAGGGAGTTCGGTACTCCTGCTTCTGGGGGGGCTCCCCAGTAGACTTATTTCTATACACCTCTCCCTCAAGGCCATTTTTACCCCCACCTTGTAACAGGAGTAACAGTACCACAGACTTCATAACATATTAGATGCATAGGTGCCACCAGGAGCATGCAAGGAACCTGCTCCTCCTAAATATCTGAATAAGAAGACACAGGTGATCAGAGCACAGGCAGAAATATTGCCCTATCCCAAGCCTTGGATCCATAGAGCTAGGAGAAATTTGGGACTCCCTCCTCCCTAAGTGTATCAGTTAGCTATCACCACATTAAAAATAATAATAATAATAATAATAAGATTCAATGGCTTAAAATAGCAAACATTTATTTTTGCTGATCTCACTTAGTTCAGCTGAACTCAACCGAGTTTGGCTGGGGTGAATTGGCCCTTCTCCACATTTCTCTCAACCTCCTCTTGGGATCATCAGGCCAGTCCAGGCATATTCTTCTACTGGTGATAGCAAAGGCACATGAGCACAAGCAAAAATACATGGTCTCTTGAGATTTAGGTTTGGAACGGGTACACCAGCACATCTGCCTCATTTCCTTTGTTGTGGTAAAATACTCATAACATAAAATTTACTATTTTAAACATTTTTAAGTGTTCAGTGGCATTAATTACATTCACATCATTGTGCAACCACCACGCTTTCTCCATCCTCAGAACTTTTTCATCATCTCAAACTGAAACTCTGTACCCATTAAAAAACAATTCCCCATGCTCCCCTTCCTCTGGCCCCTGGCAATCACTCTTCTAGTTCCTGCTTCTATGAACTTGACTACACTAGGTTCCTCGTATATGTGGAATCATACAATATTTGTCCTTTTGTGTCTGGCTTATTTCACTTAATGTGTTCAAGGTTCATCCAGGTTGTCACACATGTCAGAATGTCATTCGTTTTTAAGGCTGAATAATATTCCATCATACATACATATCATACTTTGTTCATCTACTCCAATGATGGACATTTGTGTTGTTTTCATCTTTTGGCTATTATGAATAATGCTGCTATGAACATTAGTGTACAAATAGCTATTCAAGTCCTGGCTTTCAATTCCTTTGGTTGTACGTATCCAGAAGTCAAATTGGTGGATCATATGGTAATTCTACATTTAACTTTTTGAAGAACCTCCATACTATTTCCCACAGTGGCTGCATCATTTTACATTCCCACCAGCAATGCACAAGGATTCTGCTTTCCCCACATCTTCATCAACACTGGTTATTTTCTGTGTTTTATTTTTGTTTTTTCTTATAATAATAATCCTACTGGGTGTGATGTGTAGCTCACTATGGTTTTGAGTTACATTTCTGTAACAATTCATGATGTTGAACATTTGTCCATGTGCTTATTGGCCATTTTTATATCTTTCAAAAAATGTCTATTTAAGTTTTTGCCCATATGTTTTTTAGTATATCTGTTTATATTTGTTGTTGAGTTACAGGAATTCTTTATATATCCTGGACATTAATCCCTTATCAAATCTATGAGTTGCAAATATTTTCTCCCATTCCATGGGTTGCCTACTTACTCTGGTGACAGTGTCCTTTGACACACCAAAGCTTTCAATTTTGATGATGTCCTGTTTATTTTTCTTTTGTTGCCTGTGCTTTTAGTATAATATCCAAGAAATCACTGCCAAATACAATATCATAAAGCTGCTTTTAACAGTTTTATACTTTTAAGTTAATGTTTAAGTTAATTTTTTATATGGTGTAAGGTAAGGATACAACTTCATTTTTTGCATGTGGATATCTAGTTTTCCCAGCACCATGAAATGGTTCTGGCATCCATGCTGGAAATCATTTGACCATATAAGCAAGAGTTTATTTTAGGATTCTCTATTTTGTTCTTTTGGTCCATAATGTAGGTCTTTTTTTTTTTTTTTTTTTAACCAGTACTATACTGTTTTAGTTACTGTAGCTTTGTACTAAGTTTTGAAATCAGGAAGTGTGAAACCCTCAAGTTTGTTCTTTTTCAGGAATTGTTTTGGCTATTCAGTGTCTGTTGAGATTCCATATAAACTTTAGGATGGATTTTTATATCTGTGCAAAAACAAAAGTCATTGAGATGTTGATAGGGATTGTACTGAACCTGTAGTTCACTTGGGGTTAGTGACATCTCACAATATTAAGTTTTCTAATCCAAGAGCAAACCTCCCATTTCTGTTTTAATTTTTTAGCAACATTTTGTTGTTTTCATTGTACACGTTTTTAATCTCCTTGGTTCAATTTATTCTTAAGTTATTTTATTCTTTTTGATATTATAAATGGAATTGTTTTCTTAATTTCTCTTTCAGATTGTTCATTGTTAGTGTAACATCTGACTCATTTTATTGGCCAAAGTAGTCACATAGCCAAACCCAAAATCAGGAGGTGGGGAAGTATAGCCCACCAATCATGGAAGGCCACTGCAAAGTTACATGGCAAAGTGAGTCAATACAGGGAGGAATGAAGAACTGGGTTCTGTAACAATGATATCCTATACTGAACTTCAGACAGTCAATTTTAGCATTATTTTTCCAGGGCCCTTTTCAAAATAGTCTGACCCAAGCCCTTTAACCAAACAGTTACTATGAAAAATAAACAAACAAACAAACAAATAAGTAAGTAAGTAAGTAAGAAGTTAGGGCACTAGAGGACAAAAGGAATGAGCAGACAAAGGAAGGAGATAACAGGATGCCTAAGTAAGTTGCTGGTGTGCAGCTGCACAAGTAGCAGATATAAAGGAAAGAACACAAGTCAAGGAATCAGAAAGCCTGCCACTTAATCTTGGGAAAGTATCTAACAACTCTGGGCCTCAGTTTCCTCCTCTGGCGTGTATGCTCAATAATGTCTAAGGACCTTCCCTGTGTTAGCTCTGCATCCTATACAAATTCTAACAGTGTTGACCCCAGCATAGAAAACAAGACAACCTTGGAAAATTCCTTCTCTTATAGATCCATAGGTACACACAGCCATACAGGTGGCCATTCTCTTGTCTCACAGATCTCATCATTTTCTTTTTTTAATTTTTTAAAATATTTTATTATAAATATTATAATATTTATATATTTTATATAATATAAAGAGAGAGAGCACACAACACAGAGCCCAACGCAGGGCTTGAACCCATGAACCATGAGATCATGACGTGAGCTGAAGTCGGACACTTCACTTACTGAGCCACCCAGGTGCCCCAGATCTCATCATTTTCTGCCTTACATCTCAGTTTTATTACTGTGCTTTGTTTTTTATTCAATACCAGTGAGGATCTCCTTGCAAAGGGGAAGATAATCATCACTGTCTTATATATCCCCAGAACAGTAGGCACAACATTGTTACTTCTTTAACTAAATTGAGGGGGAAACACCAGTATCTTTAATTTTGAATGGTTTACCATGTGTTTGGAACTTCTAAATAAATTGTCTGTGGAAGCTAAGTCATTGAGGACAAAACAGCAAATTCAGCGAGTGCTCTGAATTTAAAGAAAATTAGTTTTTTCTCACAGTAGCAATCAGTTTACTTTAATAATTCAAGGCTATAAAAGCTTGAGTAGACATAATATCTAAGCTTAATATTTTAGAATTTAATGTATCAAAGTATGTTTAATGACTATGTAGATAAGTAGAATATCGTACATGTCAAAATGCAGGCTTGGCAAAAGTTGTTAGAAGGACAAGGTTCTTGACTGATAGAAAAATTAAATTGGTGTTTACAATTGCTTTCTAGAGTTTGTTGAAAAACTTTGGCTTGATAATCACATAAACAGTAAAACAGTGGCCAATATTAGATTTTTACCAATTAAATTGATTCTTAACTATTACTATATAGCATTTTTTTTCCAACTCCCTACATTTGAAGAAGTGCTTTCTTCCAGTACAAAATCAGTGTAGGAACTAATGAACTTAAAAAAAATGTTCAAGGGGTGAATATTAATTGCTGCATTCTTTCAAGGTTAGTTACAAGGACATAGAAATAGGTACTTTGTGTTCTTGGAGAATTTTCACTTAATTGAATGAATAATAGTCCCCTTCCCAGAATTCCAGAGAATAAAAACATCTATTTGCTTGGAAATAGCAAGCAAAAGAAATATGCTGCCGGTATGGAGACTACACTCTATGTATGGCTTCTAGAGCCACAGAGGCACAAAAAGAACAAGTCAGGAATATGGCCCTTCTGGCTTATTAATGGCCTCTCTCTCTTCTCCTCTCCTTCTAGGCTGTCCCATCAGAGGTCACCCTACCCCTAATATCACCTGGTTCCACGATGGCCAGCCAATTGCCACTGTCCCAGGACTGACACATCATATCTTGGCAGCTGGACAGATTCTCCAGGTTGCAAATCTTAGTGGCGGGTCTCAAGGGGAATTCAGCTGTGTTGCACAGAATGAGGCAGGAACACTCGTGCAAAAGGCCTCGTTGGTGATCCAAGGTAAGGAACACTTCAGGCTTTGGGTGCCGAGATTATTCCTTGAATAAGAAGGTCAACCTGAGAATCTAATTCTCTAATAGAACCAACTGATTTCTGATCTCCAGTGGTTCCTCAAGCATGAAAGTCAAAGCTGAATCATGTTTCCATATGATGCGGCCCTTCAGAAGAGCCGCCAGGCTCCGTCCCAGCAGAATCTGGAAGTCAGTGCTGCTTTCATAAATGGGCCCTTCAGCTTCACAATGTTGCTGCTGCCCAGGACCAAAGAAACACCACGATATATCAAAGTCAAAAAATGTTTCATTTTTGTGTGTTTAGTAAGAAACACACACACACACACACACTCGTAAGCACACATGTGCATGTGTGCAAAGTAACCTGTTAAACTAATGCAAGTTTTTTCTGTAGGTTTGGTCAAAAAATAATCTCTTAATCCAAACTGCTTCGTTAGTGCCTCCTCTCCTGGAGACTCAAGCCAGTGCCAGTACCTGCTTATCATCCTAAGGAGTCTTAAACTGTAGTCATATGCTGTGTGTTTTGCAGTCACCCTTTCTTGTGGCCCCATTGACAATAGACTGTGTGGTTCATGCATTAATCTTCCAGGAACATGGGCAGGTCAGAAAGCCCGTGGGAGGGGCTTGGCATCAGCTGCACCAAGAAAGGGTTGTGAATGAGCCCAGAACAGTGAGAAATTAACCCAAAGTGGGTCATGTTAAATAAAAACTAAGTGAGGCTTTCATGGTTTCCATAAGCTACTTCTAACCTGTGGCCTGTGTGTGATTATTTTAAGGAAAAACAAAATTCCATTGCATGCATTCTAAAATGGAGTATTCTGTGGGAAGGGACAGAATTCTGTGCCAGCGTAGCACATGAGAAGGGAGATTTTTCTGAGCAAATGGGTTTTCCCCTTAAACAGCCTCCCCTGCCATTTGGCTCTTGAGACAGGAAAGTAAATGTTCCATTTTCTTGCCAACCAGCCATTCTCCGCTAAAAACCAGAAGCCAGTGCCTATCTGCAAGGTTTGTAATATACGACCTTGCAAATAAGCGCTCACAATTTACCAGCCTGCAGTTATTTTTAACAGCTTTCCTCCCAGTGAGTCCCAGACCCCCAAATAGAAAACCCAGAGAAACTGAATTTCTCCCTTACGTCATTGTCTCACGTCAATGAGTACTCTCTGGATAGGCTGTTTGTTGTTGTTGTGTTTAGTAACATCTATGAAGTCCAACTCAAATGTGCACGTCTAAATATGATTGTTAGGTATTTCTGATATTTTTATAGCTCTTTGTTGAAAAATAAAGTCACTTTCTGGTGAACCACTAGGAAGAGAAAGCACTTTGGAAGTGTGTTTAAAAACATGAAAGACTAGAGGCACTGATTCTAAATACTGGCCCTGCACCAGGTGCTGGGCGAGGCCCTCTACCTTCATTATAGGTGGTGCTCACAATAACTCCCCAAGGTAGAGGCTTCGTCCTCCCTTTACGGATGAGCCAACCGAGGCTCCTGGAGCCGAGGCCTCTTGCCTACATGAATTGGGAATGGAGCGCACTGATGGACGGAGTCTCATGCATAATAAATTGTGCCCACAGAGCACAGGCATACTGCTGGCTTCTTTTCACCTCTGATCCTCCTCTGACAGATTACTGGTGGTCTGTGGACAGACTGGCAACCTGCTCAGCCTCCTGCGGTAACAGGGGCATCCAGCAACCCCGCCTGAGGTGTCTGCTGAACAGCACAGAGGTCAACCCCACCCACTGTGCAGGGAAGGTGCGCCCTGCTGTGCAGCCCATTGCATGCAACCGGAGAGACTGCCCTTCTCGGTGAGTGTGGCAGACACTGGCACAGGCCTCCCCAACCCCACAGCTGACCCCTGGCTTTTAGCCACCTTGGTGGCTAGTCTTTGTCCGGCATTGCACAGGAAGAGACACAGAGTGCCAGCAAGGGGGCCTGCCATCCAAGACACTCTTCTTTCCTCTGGGCACAGACTTGTCAGGCCTCTCCGCTGTGCAGAAGCTATCCATCAGAATGGGCCTCCTCCCTCGCCAGTTTATTCCCTCACCACTCAGAGAGCCGAGGGCTATCTGGTCATCCCAAGGGCCTCAGAGGATCTGTTCGGGGGCCGGGAGCCTTCCAGGCCCTAGCAAGAGCTAGCCTTCATCCTGCAGTAAGAAATGGGCCCTCTGGTTTGTTTGTAAGAGGAGAAATGTGTTTGTGGTTGAGGTGCCGAGGAGATAGGGCTTACTGACCAGCACCCCACCCCCTCCCCTTTCTTCTAACTTCAAAAACCGTGCTTATCAGTACTCTAGTTGAGGTGAGGAAATCATACCCTAGTCTTGTCTTTGAAGGGTTGAGTCCTGCTGATGTCACAATAAATCTTCTTCGTTTTCTATAGTCGCCTCAATGGTGGATATATATTCTCAGCATCTGGTCCCAGAACGACACCCACCATCTCTGCCACTTACAGCTTGGAGAAGTAGTGAGTCACACAGAGCACCCTCCCCCCAGTTTGCAGACAGTAGTTAAAGGGATAATGGATGGACTCAGAGTTGGCACCAGCATGGCACCCAGAGCCTGGGGGGACTTGGCTGGTTCTTGCAATGGCCCTTTACTACCTATGTGTGGGACTTCCATAGACTACTTAGGCATCCGCCCTGTGTTTTGCCAGCTGAGTCATAAGGAGCAGCTGAAACCAGGAGAGACTCAATGAAATATGAAACACACTCATTAATATCAGCAGTTTGACTTGCTGACGGGAAGGTTTCCATGGGAATGATTAATGTCCTTTTATACCCTTCCTGAACTGTAACATAGCCGTACCTCTCCTTTCACAAACCCCCCACCCCAGCTCCTGAAAAATTGCTGAAATGTATATTTGGAAATAAAAGTTGATTGAAACACAGGCCTGACATTCACCGGGGATATAAGGGGCTGGAAGATTGCCCTCGCCAAGCTATTTGAAATGAAGACGAAGCCTTGGACATGCCAAGGACTTTTTGATTGGCTGTGGTGATGGTCAGAGTCAATCAGCCTCATTTACTTCTGCAAATGAAATAATGGCCATGTCTGCTTGGGTTTCAGTGCCCCCAGGAGCTTTAAAACACCTCGTGCCTGCTTCCTAAGTGGCTCTGCTCCTGTGGGTTGGAAATCTGCATTCAGTCATCTCATCTCTCTCCAGGGCAAATGGAGCAGGGAAGTTCCACCAAATTAAATAAGTCACAGAACCAGATTCAAGTGGAATGTGCCCCCTGTCCCTGCTACTTGCCTCTCCTGAGAGCCAGATGTGGCGCCACTCGCCTAGGGAGTGGCCACAGGCTTACCTTTGACTAGTTTCCCTCCTGGGCTTCTTGGGCACTCCTGTAGCCTTCTTTGAACACAAATAAATATTGCCCTGGTTGTCTTTGAATAGGGCCAGGAGGTCCTGCATTGACCCAGGTAGCTAGTCAACCATTTCATTTAGATAAGCTTTTTCTCAGGCCATAAAAACCAAAGAATGGTTCAGTGGGTGGGTAGGTAGGTGGTTTGTTGGTTTTTCCCTAGATTGAATAAAATGGCTGGAAAGTGCCAAGTCTTTTCTCATTATTTCTCTTTGAGAACTAGCCCACCATGCAAACATGCACAGAGAGCCCCTACAGGTTAGTATACGGACAGAGGATTTCAGAGCATTTCCCAGATTACAGCTTGGCTTTATGAAAAAGCCATTTGCCCATCTCGGTCAGTTTCCCTTCAAAGGATCCAAATTGTAGTTGGAAGCGAACATTCTGAGAACTACATTCACCACATGTGCAGCCCTCAAAGAGGTATAAGACCTATACCTCACCATGGAGGTGAGAGGTGGGGGACTGCTCCAGAAAGCTAGAATGAACTTTGCATGTTTCTCGGGGATTCAACAAAATCCAGTGATGTGGGTTAAGGCAAGGGAGAAAATACAGTGCGTACAAGCAGACAAAATGTTGACTTCAGTGAGAGCCAGATTGCCTCCTTGGTCAGGAGGTGACACAGTTTGGGTCTGACTTCCCTAGGAAACTGTCCCTCTTATGTCACACACTTGGATGGCTTTAGGAAGTACCAGAACTGCCATGCAGTGTAACTGACTAAAGGACTGTCTCCACAGAGCATTCCACCTGCAGGCTCATAGCTTTGGGGACCAGGGTCAAGCTGAGACCACTGACCTTCAGACTACTCTTTTGAGATGCACCTTTGCAGTCAATTTCCAAAGGGTATTTGTTTCCTGTGTCTGCCATTACAAATTAACACAAACACAGAGGCTTAAAAGAAAAGACATTTATTCTCTCATACCCTTGAAGCCCACAAGTCCAAAATCAAGAGGTCAGCAGGGGTTCACCCCTTGCAAGTTCCTTGCAACTTCTGGTGGCTCCAGGCATCCTGTGACTTGTGGCCACCTCACTCCAGCCTCTGCCTTTGTGGTCCCATGGTCTCCCCCTCTTCTCTGATTTCTGTCTTTCTCATATAGGGACATTTATGATGACAGAAAATGCAGGATAACCTCATCTCAAAGTCCTTAATTATAGCTGTAAAAACCCTTTGTCCAAGCATGGGAACATTCACAGGTGCCAAGGATTTGATGCAGATATCTTTTGGGGGCCCATTTTCTAGTCTTCCATGTATACCTTGAAAAGGGTCATGCCCCCCAAATTAGTAGCTGTGTGGTGAGAACAGGGGGGTGTTACAGGCTCTATTTCTGAGACTGTATAGCATCATTCCTCTGCCCAAGGCCTGACCCTTTGCAGCTTACCTGATTTCCTCCCTCTCCCCAGGTGGATGGTGACCTCCTGGTCTGCCTGTACCCGGAGCTGTGGGGGAGGTGTCCAGACCCGCCGGGTGACCTGCCAGAAGCTGAAAGCCTCTGGAATCTCCACTCCTGTGTCCAACGACATGTGCACACAGCTTGCCAAACGGCCAGTAGACACCCAGGCCTGTAACCAACAGCTCTGCGTGGAGTGGGCCTTCTCCAGCTGGGGCCAGGTAAGTGGATTTTATTTGACAGGTAAATCTAAAGGTGTGGACCTTGCCGAGGTGGGAAGTAAAATGTAACCACTGCCACATCCTCTGTGATGTCAGACCTTTCACATCCCACCTGTCATCAACTCATCTTCCCAGTATCCATCCTATTGATCCCTTCCCTCCCCCTCCTCAGGTCTTCCTTTCTTCCTTTCTCAGGCCATCAGTGAACCCTCAGTAACCCTTTCTTCAGACTCATTTTCTATAAGGCCACCTCTCCTCGCCAGCTGTGCTAAGGTGGATGATTTAAAACTCTGACGAGATCCATGTGGGTACTGCAGTCTTATGCGGAGCCAGGGGTTCTCAACTGGGATACACAGAATCACTTAAGAAACTTCTAGACCAATGTCCAGGCTGCACCTCCCTGAGATTCTACATCAGTTGTTCAGGGGCGGAATCCGAGCATCAGCAAGTTTTAGAAACTATGCAGGAGATGCTGGGGTGTAGGCATAGTAGAGAACAACTATTCCAGGCTAAGAAGAGTTGAAGCCTAGCTGGATCGCTTTGAAACCACCAACTCCTTTATCAATTCTCAGCCAGAGGATAGCCAAGAAAGTCCCAGGTTAGCTTAACACACTGCAACGATGGAGGCTCATGGGACCCCAGGAGGGATGAGGCCTCTTCTAGATATAAGAAGGAGCCGCAGGACTCTCCATTTGGAGAGGAAATTTTATATTTAGTTATGACTTTAAAAATTAACACAAATTGAAGATTCTCAGTGGGGAGGAATAAACCTGAGCAGTGACAGACACTATGCCATGACAGAAGCAACCTTGGAGGAAAGGGAGGCGATGATAGTCACCTTACCATTGTTCTATGATTATTTCTGGGTCAGGTAGAACTGAGCATCAGTCAGACATTCCCACTGTAATTAGAGGCCTGGGCTTTTCCCAGTGCAGGTGTGTAGGGTCTCCATTTAGACAGAGTAGTTTTCCTACTCATCTGACTCCTTCTCTGTTTTAGAATGTTGGTGGCACTAAGAGAAAACAATCCAGTGTGGTGCTTGGGGGAAATGACATAATTGCATATGTTCTGTTCATTTCAAAGTATGTATTCAAAACCTACTGGGGACTTACTTAGTATCTAAGAGCTGCCTGCCAATGCTGATAATCAGCTAGTACCCACCCCACTAACTATGCGGTAACAAATATTGTTTGTCAGAGTCTGACAGTAGGATGACTGATTGGTCAGACATAGTTTGTGATTAGTTGGTATCTGAACCGTGCCATTAGGCCTGGCCTGCTGGAACACCCCAAAACCACCACAAGGCTCTTAGTTCTTTGTGTCACTGTATGAACTAACATGACTGAATGTTTTGGGCAGCTGGGAACTTGAAACTTGTTGGAACTGGCTACCTGCACATTACTGCCTTCATGTTCCTCCCTCCCCACCCCGAGGTGTGTTCTTTGGAAAACAATCACTTGGAATTTCCCATTAAGTTAATATGCTGTAGCCATCTTTAATGAAGATCAAATGTTATTGGGAGGAAATCTGGCCATGCACTTGCAATCCATAAGCCATTTCTGTCCCAGGTGAGTCCCGGGATAATCTCAGCACTGGCCAATCAACACACTCGGCCTGAGTCTCCTTTTTGGCACCTTTACCAACCCTCCCTTATTTCCAGTGACCTAATGTATGTGCTTCATAATTAAAGAGGCATGAGCTCCCTTTTGCTCTGATGCCTGGGGGATATCATCTTTCTCCTACCTGGAAAAGCCCACTTCTGCTAGCTTTCACTCAGCCCAAGGCTTACTACTTCTAGGCCCTCGAGGCTTACTGGCAGTTTGTGAAATTACAATTGGGAACAGATCTGGCTACACATGGGGGAGACGTTTCTGCATTGGATCACTGAGGTCACTGAAGGGGACATACACTGTGCACATTGATGATTCTCAGTGATTACTTTTTCTGAAAGAGAGAAAAAAAGGTCCTTCCTCCTCCTTTCCCTCAAACACTCTCATCCCCTTCTTCTAAAACCCTCTAGGCAAGTATGTCTCAAGCTTTGATGTGAATCATTAAGTCTTTAATCTGGATTTAACCTTAATGTGGATCTTGTTAAAAATGCAAATTCTGATATGACAGGTCTGGAAGTAGAGCTTTAGATAATGAATTTCTTTACTGAGGCATAATTGATACCCATTATTATATTTTCAGGTGTACAACATATGATTTGATATTTGTACACATTGCAAAATAATCCCCACAATAAGTCTAGTTAACATCTGTCACCATACATAATTAGGGGAAACAATTTCTTGTGATGAGACTTTAAGATCGACTCTTAGCAACTTTCAGCTGTGCCATACAGTACTAGTAACTATAGTCACTATGCTGTACATTACATCTCCGTGCTATATTTATAACTGGAAGTTTGTACCTTTTGACTGCCTCCACATAGTTTACCTACCCCCACCTCTGGCAATCAGCAGTTTATTTTCTGTATCTATTATGGTTGGAGGAGGTTTTGTTGTTTAGATTCCACCTATAAAGCCACACAGTATTTGTCTTTGTCTGCCTTAATTGACTTATGCCCTCAAGGTCTTCACATGTCATCACTAATGGCAAGATGTCATTCTTTTGTGGATAAATAATAGTCCTGTGTGTGTGCACTCGCATGTGCACACGCACGCACATTTTCTTATCCATTCATCTGCTGATGGACACTTAGGTTGTTTCCATGTCTTGGCTGTTATAAACAATGTTGCAATGAACATGGGGGTGCATATACCCTTCCAAGTTCATGTTTTCATTTTTTTATAAATACCTAGAAATAGAATTGCTGGTTGACATGGTAGTTCTCTATTTTTAATTTTTGAGGAATCTACATACTGGTTTTTATGATGGCTGCACCAATTTACATTCTCACCAACAGTGCACAATGGTTCCCTTTTCTCCACATCCTCACCAACACTGGTTATTTCTCATCTTTTTTGATATTAGCTATTCTAACAGGTGTGAGGTCATATCTCATTGTGGTTTTGATTTTCATTTCACTGATGCTTGGTGATCTTGAGCACATTTTCATGTGCCTGTTGACCATCTGTATGTCTTCTTAGGAAAAATGTCTATTCATATCCTCTGCCTTCTTAAAAGGTTTGGTTTTGTTTTGTGTTGAAAGGTTTGTTTGGTTTTCTGCTATTGAGTTGTAAAAGTTCTTTATGTATTTTGGATATTAACTCCTTATCAGATAAATGATTTGCAGATAACTTCTCCCATTCAGTAGGCTGCCTTTTCATTTTCTTAATGGTTTCCTTTGCTAATGTAGTCCCACTTATTTACTTTTGCTTATGTTGCCTTTGCTTTTCATGTCAGATTCAAAATATAATTGCTGGGGCACCTGAGTGGCTTAGTCAGTTAGGCATCCGACTTTGACTCAGGTCATGATCTCATGGTTTTGGAGTTTGAGCCCTGCATCAAGCTCTGCACTGACAGTGCAGAGCCTGCCTGGGATTCTCCCTCCCTCCCTCTCTCTCTCTCTCTCTCTCTCTCTCTCTCCCCCCCACTGCCCCCCCCCCCACTCTCTTGCGTTCTCTCTCTCCCACAATAAACTTACTGTATATATATATATATATATATATATATATATATATATATATATAGGGGTGCCCGGGTGGCTCAGTCAGTTAAGCATCTGACTTTGGCTCAGGTCATGATCTCACAGTTTGTGGGTTCAAGTCCCACATCAGGCTCTGTGCTGACAGCTAGCTCAGAGCCTGGATCCTGCTTCAGATTCTGTGTCTCCCTCTCTCTCTCTCTCTGCCCCTCCCTGCCTGAAGCTCTGTCTCTCTCTGTCTCAAAAATAAATAAACATTTAAATATATATATATAATATCAAAGAGCTTACTATGTTTTCTTCTAAGAGTTTTATAATTTCAGGAATTATGTTTAAGTCTTTAATCCATTTGGAGTGAAATTGTGTATGGTGCAAGAGTAGTCTAATTTCACTGTTTCCCTCATGGCTATCCAGTTTTCTCAGCACCATTTATTGAAGAGACTGTCCTTTCTCCATTGTATATTTTTGGCCCCTTTGCCATAAATTAATTGAGTATATATGCATGGGTCTAATTCTGAGCTCTGTTCTGTTCCACTGACTTATGTGTCTGGTTTACACCAAACCATATTGTTTTGATTACTATACTATAGCTTTATAGTAGTTTGAAAATAGGGAGCATGATGCCTCCAGCTTGTTTATGTTTTCTCATAAGATTGCTTTGGCTGTTTGGGGACTTTTGTGGTTACATACAAATTTTAAGATTGATTTTTTGTTTCTGTGAAAAATTATCATTGGAATTTTGACAGGGATTGCATTTAATCTGTAGATTGCTGTGAGTTGTGTGAACATTTTAACAATATTGAGTCGTCCAATCCATGAACACAGAATATCTTTCTACTTGTATCTTCAATTTCTTTCATTAATGTCTTACAGGTTTTCAGTTTATAGGTCTTTAACTCCTTGGGTACATATATTCCTAGATATTTTTTTCTTTTTGATGCATTTGTAAGTGGGATTATTTTAATTTCTCAGTTTACAGTTAGTCTAGAAATACAGTAGACTTTTTATATTGATTTCATATCCTACAACTTTACTGAATTGGTTTATTATTCAAACAAGTTTTTGGTGCTCTTTAGGATTTTCTATAAAATATGTCATCTTCAAATAGTAAGAGTTTTACTTCTTTCCAACTTGGATGCCTTTTATTTCTTTCTGTGGGCTAATTGCTCTATTCCTAAAGTGGGCATTTTTGTCTTGTTTCTGATCTTGGAGGAAGGCTTTCAGCTTTTCACCATTGAGTATGATGTTTTCTATGGGCTTGTCATATAGGGCCTTTATGATGCTGAGGTACATTCCCTCTATACCTACTTTTGTTGCTCTTTTATTTTTCGTTACTGAAGATAGATGACATGCAATGTTACTTAGCTTCAGATGTACAACATAGTGATCCCACAATTCTATACATTACTCA